TTGCTATTATATTGGAGTTTTTGTCTCCTTTTAGAACGTTAACATTTGTTTTAAATATCAAGGCCCCCTGGTATTGGATGCATATACATTTATTTTAATCACATCTTCCTGTTGAATTGATCCCTTAATCATTACACAGTGCCCTTCTTTGTTAACATTTTCTGTGTTACAGTCTATTTTGTCTGATATTAGGATGGCTATACCTGTTCATTTCTTCTTTATGTTAGCATGAAATATCTTTTTCCATCCTTTCACTTTCAGTCTATGTGTATTTTTGTTGTGTTTCTTGTAAATAAGCAAATAGATGGGCCTTGTTTTTTAATCCACTCACCCAGCCTATATCTTTTAATTGGAGAGTTGAGGCCATTTACATTCAGGGTTACTGTTGATAAGTTACAATTTGGCCCTGCTTTTTTTCCATAAATGTTCCTATTGTTAGCTTTGGACTCCTTTTGTATTTTTACTGGGAGACTTTCTGCCTTCACATTCTTTCATAATTATGACTATCTTCTGTGCTTCTGTGTATAGCACATCCTTAAGCATCTTTGGTAAGGCTGGACAAGTGTTGACAAATTCTTTCAATTTTTGTTTGTTGGAATTGGCATTGAAGTGCTAGTAGGATAAGCCTCTGCCTACAGCACTGGCATCCCACATAGGCACCTTCGTGTCCCAGCTGCTCCTCTTCTAATCCAGCTCTCTGCCAATGGCCTGGGAAAGCAATGGAAGATGGCCCAAATGCTAGGGCCCCTACACACATGTGGGACACCTGGAAGAAGCTCCTGGCTCCTGGCTTTGTATCAGCCCAGACCTGGCTATTGCAGCCAAATGGCTAGTAAACCAGAAGATGGAAGATCTTTCTCTTTCTACCTTTCCCTCTCTCTATCTGTGACTCTGTCTCTGAAATAAGTAAATAAAATCTTTAAAAAATTTCTGTTTATGGAAGATCTTTATTTCACCTTCATTCATAAATGAGGACTTTGCAGGATACAGTATTCTGGGTTGACAATTTTTTCTTTTAAGACTTAGACTATGCCTTTCCATTCTCTCCTAGCCTGTAGAGTTTGATGAGAAGTCAGTTATAAGTCTAATTGGAGATTCTCTGAAAGCATTTTGGCATTTCTCTCACACGTATTTTAGAATCTTTTTGTTTTACTGTTGAAAGTTTGACTACAATTTGTTGTGGTGAAAATCTTTTCTGGTCATTTCTGTTAGGAGTTTTGTGTGCTTCCTATACTTGATGTCCTTTCTTTCTCCAACTTAGGGAGTTTTTCTCTAGCTATTTAACTAAATATGCCTTCTAACCCATTCTCTCTTTCCGTACCTTCAGGAATCTTTAAGACCCTTATGTTAGGTCATTTGATAATATCTCATAAATCTCCAACACTATTTTTATTTTTCTAATTTCTTCATTGTTTTGGTCTGATTTAAAAATTTCCATAGATTTATCTTCTAGCTTGGATATTATTTCTTCTGACTCACCAAGTCTGTTGTTAAGGCTTTCCATGTATTTTTAATTTGAATATTGAATTATCAATTTCTAATATTTCATTTTTATTACTCTTTAAAATCTCAATTTCATGTGAGAATTTTTCTACTCGTGTATGGATTTCTTTAATTCACAAATTTGCTTTTCATTGCTTCTACCTCTGAGTAATCCTATGATTAATTTTTTTGAATTCCACTTCAGGTATTTCATCAATCTCTTCATCTTCACATTCATATATTAAAGTGTTGTTGTGTTCCTTTGGGGGGGGGTATGTTTTCTTCCTTATTCTTGTTTTAAATTTCTAAATTATTTTTAGGCATTTCTGGAAACATGTATTGGTTGTTTTTTTTTTTTTGTTTTGTTTTCGAATGGTGTTTATCTTTGAACTATGCCTTTGTGACTTAGTGGGTTGTCTGCTGTTTCCAGGAACACCCAGAGGTATGTGCTATGTGGTCAGGAAGCTCTGGTCAGTGCTTCTGGGTGGGGCAAGTATCCAGGGTAACACTAAAGTTTGAGGCTGACAGATCTTTTTTTTAGCAGACAGGAGAGTATAATCACCTCTGTTGGTGTGCTCACACTCTTGCCTTCTGTCTTTCAAGGTGATAAATGCCTGAGTGTTAGCCCACAAGTGGGTACAATACTCATCCACATTGCCGTATGAACTGCACAAAGGATCTGTGCAGTCCTCAGTGTGAACATGGATTGCATTGCAATGACCCACCCCAGGCAATCAGAGAGCGCTCATCTTGTGGAGCCATTCATATTTATTGTCCAGAGACCCAGCTATATCCTGTAAACTCTTGTGCAGTCGTAGAGTTCCCACCGTCTCAGCACAAAAAGCTTCCACAGTCATGGGGTGCAGAGGATCTGCTCTGCCCCACTAGCCTGGCCTGGACACAGAGAGGCAGAGATGCTCCCAGAGCCAGCTACCTGTGGGTGCTCCACCTAGGTTGTTTGAGTCCCAGAGCCTGTGATATGTTGAGAGGCTGGGGGCACCTCTCAGTCCCGTGTGAGTTCCCAGCCCCCTGTCAGTCCTCCCAGCCAGCCTCAAAGTGTGGGGAATGCAGCGTGTTCCTTCTGCTAGAGTCTCTGGATCACCCGCATGCACAGGAGCCACCAGCCACATGTTGCCTTCACCGCATCGGTTGCCAAGTGCACACACTTGAGCTGCTGCCTCGGGTAGTGCTGGGAAGATGGCATCTTTTCCCAGCCAGTTTCTGGGCTCGTGCTGAGAGCTTCTGCAGCTGCTTCTTATGTCAAAAGTGGTGCCCACCCTCTCTCAGCCAGTTGCTGTTGTGGGGGATTTGGGAGAGAGAAATGTGCCCCTATTTTTTTACTGGGTCAGTGGCTACCTCATCCCCCTTAAGGCTCCAGGCCAGACTCACTCCAAGCTCTCCCTTTGGCTGTATCACCAGTGGCATGGGCTGTAGCAGTCTGATTTCACCTCACTCTCCAAAGCTGGTGCTTTCTCTGGCTCTCATCTGCTGGGGTTGTGTGTTATGTCCTTGTTCATGCTGCACGTCTGCATCTTGCAGATCAATTCATGGTGTTCCTCTTCCTTCCGTAACATCTCCACTGCAGTTTTCTCTCTAACTGTCCCCTGAAAATGTACTTTCCACACTTTCTTTTTTTACTATTTACCCCTGTTTACTATTTACCCCTACTTACCCCTGCAAAAAGTAATGTTCTGTGGTCTGTCAGCCACCCAGTCTTTCATATTTTGTTATAGTGGCCCAATTTCACCAAGACAAGATCCTAGTACAAGCTTCCCTATTCTGCTATCTTGGAATCCTCTCTAAAATTTTGTTTTTAAAATAGACAGTAAAGCAATAATAAAGGTTTATTTCTCTCTGAAGTAAAAAAAAATCTGAGCTGAGCTCTGCAAAGCCTCCAAGGTTCTAAACTGCTTCCGACTTGAGGCTCTGTTTTATATGGAAGGATGCCCTTCCAGGCACTGAGCTGGCTCACCACTAGGGCTGCCTTTCTAGCAGTGGAAAGAAGAAAGGAGGAAGGAGACAGACACCCTTCCTTTAAGGGCTTGTCCAAGAATAAACATTCGGTTTAGTTTCTGTTGACTGCAGTTTAGTCACATACTCACACTTAGACCTCATGAAATCTTGAAATGTAGTCTCTAGCTGGACAGCCAGGTATCTAGCTAAAATTTCTCTTATTCTAGAAAAATATAAAACAAACGTACTCACCGAAACTAGTTCATGTAAATCCTAAATAATCCTTAAGATGAAGGTAAATGTATTCCCACTACATTTGATCAGATGAGGAAACTTGGGCTCGAAGACTTTGAGTGGCTTACAGCAGTAATGTCATGGAGCAAGAGCCTGTGACCAGACTGGTTTTATACCAAGGAGCACTTCTTCCTACTCTTAGATGAGGGGGTCTTAGGAATCTACAGTGTCTTTTTTTTTTTTTTTTGATTTAGCATATCCTTTATTTTTATTTTTTTATTATTTAATAAATGTGAATTTACAAAGTGCAACTTTTGTATTGTTGTGGCTTCCACAGTGTCTTTTACTTTCATTTGTCTATAAATGTGTTGAAGTCCCCTCATATGTCTCCTTGAGAAACGTGAGTGTATGTACGCTGTGGTCTGAGGGGTTACGTCCCCGTCAAAATTCATATTTTAAAATATAATTGCCAATTTATGCTTTAGGATGCATGGCCTTTGGTAGCTGATTAGCTCTCATGACTGGGATTATTACCCTTCAGAAAAAGACCCCAGGGATCCTCTTCGTTCCTTTATCACGTGAGAACACAATAAGAAGTTGCCATCTTTGAGTCAGAAACTGGGTCCTCACTGAAAACTAGATCTCCTTGATGTTGGGCTTTCCAGGCTCCAGAGCTGCAAGAAGTAAATTTCTGTGGTCTGTCAGCCCCCAAGTCTTTCATATTTTGTTATAGTGGCCTGATGCACTAAGAGAAGATCCTAGTACAAGCTTAGCCATATTGATTCTTGTTATTCTATTTCAAACCTAACCAAGCTCAAGGAAAGTTAAGAAGATGGCAATTTTCTTTTTTTTTAATATTTCATTTTTTTATTTGAGAGGTAGAGTCACAGATAGAAAGAGGGAGAGAGGGAGAGACAGAGAGAAAGGTCATCTGTCCACTAGTTCTCTCCCTAAATGGCCACAATGGCCAGAGTTGGGCCCATCTGAAGCCAGGAGCCAGGAGGGAGCTTCTTCCTGATCTCCCATGTGGGTGCAGGGTCACAAGCACTTGGCCCATCTTCCACTGTTTTCCCAGGCCATAAGCAGAGAGCTGGATCAGAAGAGGAGCAGCTGAGACTCAAATCTGCACCCATGTGGTATACTTGTGCCACAGGCAGAGACGTAGCTTAATATTTCACAGCACTGGTCCCGGCAGTTTAATAAATAAGCCTTTTGAAGGGTTAAGAACCATCTCATTTCTTTGAAACCTGGTTGCTAATTGAAACATGACAGGTGAGATCTTTTGAAGAAGTATAATGTTTAAAAGGAACTGAATCTCCTCTTCTTTCCAGAAAAGGTCCATGCTGAGATTGACAGTGTGATTGGCCAGTGGCAACAGCCAAGTATGGCCTCCCGAGAGTCCCTGCCTTATACCAATGCTGTCATCCACGAGGTGCAGAGAATGGGCAACATCCTCCCGCTGAATGTGCCCAGGGAAGTGACAGTTGATACCACTTTGGCCGGATACCACCTGCCCAAGGTAATAAAACACTCCCAATCTGAGATCTTCCAGCCTGTCATTGATGTGGTGGGAGCCTGAACCTGAAAACTGATGCGTTTTCTTGTTCTGGGGAATAACTTAAATGGGAAGAGATGTGTTTTGTCTAATCTAATACCAGTTTCCTCCATGTGTTGTCTTTGGACTATTAGTTTAACTTGATGTTAAAAAGTAGCATGGGTCTATGGGCGCCGGATTCTGTCCCAGTTGCTCCTCTTCCATTCCAGCTCTCTGCTGTGGCCCGGGAGTGCAGTGGAGGATGGCCCAAGTGCTTGGTCCCCTGTACCCACATGGGAGACCAGGAAGAAGTACCTGGCTCCTGGCTTTGGATCGGCACAGTGCTGGTTGTAGTGGCCATTTGGGGAGTGAGCCAATGGAAGGAAGACCTTTCTCTCTGTCTCTCTCTCTCACTGTCTATAACTCTACCTGTCAAATAAAAAAAAAGTATCATGGGTCATGGAGAAAGGGAGATTTCCAAGTCAAAGATGTTGAGGCAAAGACTGAACCGTCTTGGCTTTCTTTGGGGACTTCTCTGCATTCTCACTCTGCTATAGTATGTCATGAATATTTGTGGTCACACAGCAGGCAGCAGTTCCATGTCAGATGTTGCCACAGAACATTTTTTTGTCGTCTTGGTAGAGCATCACAGAGACACTAGGAACCCTAGACTGACTCTGGAAAATTCTGCTTTATAATCTAGGACTTATTTAAAATGTTGAAAAGACATTTGAGACCACCTAGGCCAACATTACATTAATGATGGCATTTCTAACATAACATAAAGGGTCTTTACCAGCTTTTACTTAGAGTCCCATGATGGGGAACTTATTATCTCACAAGGAAACCCATCCAAGTACGTGCAGTGTTAACCATTAGAAAGGGAGAGATGGGAGCAAATACTCAATAATCAATGATATGTGGTGTTGACTCCCTGGTGTCTTAAAATGTCTTGTATCTTGTATTCTTCCCATTCCATAGATTGGGAAGTCAAGGTTCAAAGAAATTAAGTTTGAATAAAGTCTCTCAACTACCGGGTGACCCAATTTGGAATCCAGAACCTGATCTGTTAAGATTGTTTGTGCTGTGCTATCCTCCCTCCAGAGGAGTTGCTTTATTCTACTTTAAAAGGGTCTCCCCACAGTTTTTCTCAGATTTCCCTGTTAAATCCCCTATCTTAACAAACAGCATTCCACCTTTTATTTTTTTACTTATTTGAAAGTCAGAATTACAGAGAAAGAGATGGAGAGACAGAGAGTTATCTTCCATCTGCTGGTTCACTCCCCAAATGACCGCAGTGGCTGGGCTGGGCCAGACCAAAGCTTGGAGCAGAAGCTTCTTCTGGGTCTCCCCTGTAGGGGCAGAGACCCATGGACTTGGGCCATCTTCTAAAAGCAGGGAGCTGGGTCAGAAGTAGAGCAGCCAGGACTCAAACCAGTGCCCAAATCTGATGCTGACACTGCAGAAGGCAGCCTAACCTGCTGTGCCACAGTGCTGGCATCATCCCACCACTCTTGGGGGTCAGCTCTCCTGTGCTTCTTAGTGCTTCCTCACACTGCACATTTACAGTTCCCTCCCCTTTGTACTCTCATCACATTGGCCAGCCTCTGTGGGTCTGTGGCAGTTTGTCTAAGTCCCTCCCAACATCTGTTGCCTGGGGAAAATCTCAAGAAGTATAATCAAAAGAACGTACTCACTGGACACTCCTTGGTTCCTGTGTCTGCAGAGCATGAATGGCAGTGCTGCACTGTCTATTGCCTTTCTGGTTGTCAATCTTGTGGATGGGTGCTGAACTCTGAGTATGCAAGTGCTGTTTGCATTCTTCTAGCAACTCCTTTCACTACAGGGAACCAGTTTAGCTCAACAGACTTTTTTCCTTCATATTTTTAATGTCAACTTTAATAACCATCCTGAGAATTGAAAATCCTAATTGACTATATATTGGAATAGAATAGAAGCTATGACTTTGACCTCAGATACACCTTTTTCAAATCATAGCTCTCACTGTGTGACTCTAGGCATGTTATATAAGCCTCAAAGCTTCCATTTTTACAGGTGGAGAGATGCCTTTCTTTTTTGATAGTGTATTTTTTTAAAAATTGAGAGGCAGAGCAACAGAAAGCTCTCATCTACTTTACTCCCCAAATGCCTGCGCCAGCCAAGAGTCAGGGGATGGAATTGGGAGTTAGGAACTCAGTCCAGATCACCCAGGCAGGTGGAATAATCCAATTACTTGAGTCATCACCTGCTGCCTCCCTGGGTGTACATCAGCAGGAAGCCTCAGGAGCTAGAACTGGGTATTAAACCCAAGCACTCTTGATATAGGGTGTGGGCATCTGTCTTATCTGCTGGGCCAAACACTTGCACCTGTAAAGTGTACTTAAACCTCTTTCATAGGATCTATGTGATCATGCGTGCAGAGTCTTTAACTTTAGCACATAGTACCGAAAATACTCAAAATAGCAATTATTATTTATTAATTCAATACATGTTCACTAGGCAGTTGAAATGCTCAGATCTGAAAAAACAACCCTGAGCAAAAAAATCACGTGAGTGCCTCTTACAAACCATAATTGTCCAAAGGAAAGAATTCATGGAGTTCTATAAAGATGCCGACCAGCTGGATGGGGGAGGAAGAGCAGAAGTGGTCAAGAAGGGCTTCCAAAAGGCAGTGATGCTTGAGCTGATGATGAAAGGATGATTGAAAGTTAGCTCAGTGATACAGTGAGCTTGAGGAACATTCCTTGCAAGGCAAATAGTGTTTAATAAAGGCAATGAGGCGTAGGTATGTGGTACAGCAGTTAATCTACCTCTTGGGATCTCCAATCCCATATTACAGTGCCTGGTTAGAGTTCCTGGCTCCATTTTCCATTCTAGGTTCATGCTAATGTGCATCCTGGGAGGCAGTAGGTGATGGCTCAGGTAATTGAGGCCCTGCCACCCATGTGGAAGATCCTGACTGAGTTTCCGGCTTCTGGCGCAACCCTGGTTGCTGCAGGCATTTGGGGAATAAGCCAGCGAATGCAAGATCTCTCTCTCTCTCTTCCTCCTTCCCTCCCTCCCTTGCTATGCTGTCTCTCTCTCTCATCTTTCAAATAAATAAAATAATATTTAAAATATTTTTAAAACTTTGAAATGAGTAGGAATATGGCATTAAGAAACTGGAGGGAAATATGTTTTAACTTCTTAGAAGCTTATCTATGAAATACATGAAATCTCTTCTCTTTTATTAATAAAAATTAAAAAAGAAGACCAATATTGTGGGAGTATAGGCAGAGGGGGAAAGTGGCCAGACAGGGAGAAACAAAGGGTGTTTATCCTAAGAGCAATGGGAAGCTACTGACAGTGTAAAGTTTTAAGTGAGAGTAGGTGGAGACATGTATGATTATCTCATGTTCGAAGTTCATTCTGCTTTCAGGGTGTGGAGCAGATTGAAATCGGTAAAACAGGATGTGGGAGAGAGTGAGGAAGTGATTATAGGAGTCTTGGCAAGGAAGGTGGACGCCTGGACAAAGGTGGCAGTGGCAGGCATTGAACAGATGATGGAATCAACAGAAATTTAAAATAGCATCACTCAATCTTGCTATGGGTTTCATGAAGACAAGGGAGAAAGGCTCACTCTAAGTGTCTCCTGAGTTTCTCAATATGTATCTGGATGGACAAGAATTACTTTTTTTTTTTTTTGACAGGCAGAGTGGACAGTGAGAGAGAGAGATAGAGAGAAAGGTCTCCCTTTGCCGTTGGTTCACCCTCCAATGGCCGCCGCGGCCAGCGTGCTGCGGCCAGCGCACCGCGCTGATCCGATGGCAGGAGCCAGGTACTTATCCTGGTCTCCCATGGGGTGCAGGGCCCAAGCACCTGGGCCATCCTCCACTGCACTCCCTGGCCACAGCAGAGAGCTGGCCTGGAAGAGGGCCAACCGGGACAGAATCCGGCGCCCCAACCGGGACTAGAACCCGGTGTGCCGGCGCCGCAAGGCAGAGGATTAGCCTAGTTAGCCGCAGCGCCAGCCCAAGAATTACTTTTACTTGGTTACCTAATCCTTTTATTTAACCCATTGTGGAAATGGGTACAGTGTACTAATCGATGCAAGGAAGAGAATGGAAGAAACATTGATGAAGGAAGGAGACATCCTTTACTTTTGTAGAGTTGTCATAGTCATTGCTTCACAGAGCAGCTAGATTGATTTTGGTCTAGTGTTGACTGACCCATCTGTCTCCTCCCAAGTCTTACACTGACCTCTCCCTGTAGAGATGATCCATGATGCAGTCAAGATTATCCACATTGTGCTGGAGAAATTCTCAGCCAGAAATTATAGTCAAGTCATTGTAACCTGCCCCATACAAGGAAGAGGCACCTGATGGGATGGGCTCAGGGGAGTGGGTTTGGAAATGTTCAGGAGATCAGGGTGTGATCAGGCTCTGGCATGGGAACCCAGAGCCTTCTGCATAGGTTGTTGCATGAGTCAAGCCTCACCTGAGTCTTTGCTGCCTTCTCTAGGGAACTGTGGTCCTGACCAATTTGACTGCACTGCACAAGGACCCCGAAGAGTGGGCCACCCCTGACACATTCAATCCAGAGCATTTTCTGGAGAATGGACAATTTAAGAAAAAGGAAGCCTTTATTCCTTTCTCAATTGGTAAGTTGTAATAAATAGGAATTTGACTCCAGAGTTCCTTTCTCAGCCCTTCCCTCCTCTCCTTGTGTTCCTTTGCTGTAGTTGGAATGTCTCCAAGCTGCACCACCCAGCTTGACTCCATCTTGCTGTTGCAATCTGAGGATCCCCAGGCTCTGCATTGCTCTAGTCTGCTCTTCTTCTTTTTTTTTTTTTTAAGATTTATTGATTATTTGATTTGAAAGGTAGAGTTAGAGAGGGAGAGACAGAGAGAAAGAGAGAGATCTTCCATCCACTGGTTCACTCCCCAAGTGGCTGAAATGGCCAGAGCTGGGCCAATCAAAGCCAGAAGCCAAGAACCAGGAACCAAGAGCTTTTTCTGGGTCTCCCATGTGGGTGCAGGAGCCCAAGGAGTTGTGCCATTTTCCACTGCTTTCCCAGGCACATTAGCAGGGAGCTGGATAGGAAGTGTCACAGCTGGGACAGGAACTGGCATCCATATGGAATGCCAGTGCTGCAGGTGGTAGTTTAACCTTTTATGCCATAGTGCTTGCCCCCTGCCCTTACTTCTTGAGCTTTCCCTTACCTCTAATGTAAATTTCAGTCTTTGTTCTGTGCTCCAGAATACTGGGAACAGAGACGCAGACCATGCCATCTTTACAGAGTATTTAAATATCCCGAGTTCTTGTTATGGACTGCAGACACACACGATAGAGCTGACTTATAGTAAGGTGATGAGGAGGCATCAAGTTGAAGAGGTTACCTGTTTGCCAATATGGGCATCAGGCAGTGACTCTAAACACCACTATCTTAACTACATTGGGTCTTACTTGTAAGTACTTCCTGTAGAGGTCCTTTTGCCTTTTTAATTTTTTTTAAAACCTAGTTGGTACATTTGTAGGGTGCATTGCTTGAAAGGTAAGAAAGAGGATGCGATGAAAACTTTCTCACATCTTTTGATTACTGGTTACAAAGGGTATTTTTAGCTCAAATACTATAAAATCAATTTAAAAAAATTTCTTAGCATGTTCCAGGTATTGAGTTCCATCAAATAATTTCCCAAATCTTTAAGTTCATAAGTATTTATAGAGCATCTATTATATATTAAGTATTTAGCCCTGAAGATATGACAGTGAAGGAAATAGAAAACAAAACAGCACTGACCTCATGGAACATATGTTCTAGTATAACCTCACAATATTTGAGATACTATCACCACTTTAGAGATAAGAAAGCTGGATCCAGGCCTTGTGGTTCAGTGGGTTAAGCTGCCAGTTGGGACACCTGCAACCCATACTGGAGTGCCTGGGATCGAGTCCCAGCTACTCCACTTCCAATCCAGCTTCCTGCTAATGTATCCAGAAGGTAGCATTTGATAACTTAGGTACTTTGATTCCTGCCACTCAGTAGAAACCCGGATGGAGTTTCTGGCTCCTGGTTTCAGTCTGAACCAGTCCTGGCTATTTTGGGCATTTTGGGGAGTGAACCAGTGGATGGAGGATATCTCGCTCTGTTTCTTTCTCTCTCTCTCACTCCCCCTCTCTCTAACTTTCAAATAAATAATTTTTTAAAAAAGAAAATGAGATAAGAAAAGTAAAGTATTGAAGCTAAAGTCATAAATCACATGGCAGAGCAAAGCCACTCCCCAGTATTTGTCAAAAACCACAGTTTCTATTCTTTCTGTCTCTGGAAAATAACTAAATGCTATGCAGAACCCAAACTGAAATGCATGGTAGTTTCCCTATCATTAGCTTTAAACGTGGGATGATTTTCTGAGGTTATCGTTTTGCAGCTGATGTTGCTAAAGCTGTGAAAGGGAGGACCTGGATTTTGGCCTCATGTCTGGGTGACCCCAAAGCTTGTGCTTTCACATTGTGTTGCACTGCCCTGGGTAGGTCTCAGCTCATTCTGATTGTATCCTCTGTGTCTGTCTTCATCTGGTTCTATGCCACATTTGCTCTCATTGCAGAAGTCACTCCTGGTAGGAAAGCTGATACAAGATACCATCCAGTATTCCGTTCTGCAGTGTTTTCAAGATTTGTATTACAACATAGAATTGCAGCTGCATACTTCAGTTCTTAAAATTATTCTCATGTTTTGGCTTCTGCATCAGATCCACAAAATGCTGAAATGAAAAACACGTGACCCTCTATTCATCCCACAAAAATGCTTCGCTTGGTTGCTGCAACTGGGATTAGAGGAACCCTTACAGATGTCCTTAGCTTTCAATGAAGAAAGATCCTGCAGGCTAAGTGTTGCCTGGATATCTTTCCTTCACGTTACAGAAGCCTGTTCCTCATGGTTGTTTTATGAGTCTCTCTGTTAAAGAAAATTCTCCCATCTTCATTAGCTATAGTATAAAAAGAACTACACACAGTGACTCACTGGTGCGTTGCTGTTGAGACTTGTTATACACCCTCTTAATTACAGGTTTCATTTACAAACAAATTATCTTATTTAATCCTTATATACAACCCAGTTTTTAATAGTGAGACAGTTTGGTATCTCCTTTCTTAGTATAAAGAAACCAAAAACAATAGAGAATTATTTCTTATCCAAGATCATGGGCCCAAGGAATTGGCAGGACAGGGCCTAAGACTCAAGTTTTTGTGTTTCTAATCTACTGTTCTCTCTAGTACAACTACAGTGGAACTTAATTACCTATGTAAAGGTTCCTCCACTTTTCCCCTGAGTTCATACCATATGTATTAGGTGGCATGTTGCTGCAAAACGAATGGTACAAAACTCCATGACTTAACAATCAGCATGTGTTATTGCTCACAGCCTACTAAGTCAGATGTGTGGCTCTACTGATCTTGGCTGGGCTCTCTTACACGTTTGGGAGGTCAGTTGGCCAAAGTCTGATTTCAGATGACCTGAGTTGGACCACAGGGGTCTTTTTCCATGGTATCTTTCATTCTCTAGTTAGCTTGCCTGGCTTGTTCACATAATGGCAATAAATTCTCACAAAGGAGAATAAGAAGCACATTGGCTTCTTAATGTCCAAGCAGGGAACTGGCATACTGTTGGGCATTGCAAGCCACAAGGCAAGCCCCAGTTGAAGAGGAGGGAAAATGACTACAGTGTTTGATGGGAAGGGCTATGAAATCATATTGCAATGATGTGGATCCAAGGGTAATGGGAGGTTGGGGTTGTTTTGGTCTCATTATCTCTCTTTCTGAGATGATTGAAATTTGGAGAGGCAAGTAGTCTGGGGATTCCCACAGAAGTTGTGATAGAATGAAAGCTAGTCAGATGGAACAGGAGACAAGTTAAAAATGGCAACACAACTGTTTAATTTTTCTGCCACACTCCTACCTTTGGCATAAAGTTGCTTCTCCTCACTGTTGGTCTAGAACTTTCTGAAAATAGCCTCCCTGGAATAATTAGATGTGGACAGCAACTGCCCTTATCTTAGAAAAGATAGCCAGTAATGAAATTATTGAAAATGCGTTTTCAGGTAAGATTGCAAAGTTATTAATTAAAAATTCATATTTTTTTTCCTCATTTAAGTTCTTCCCAGTTGATCCATGAGATTAGCAGGTGACAAAATGAAAGACAAGACCTCATTCCTCATTTTCCAATTAAAATCACTGGATCACAGGAGATAGGATTGGGAAGAACACTGCCAAAAACCTAACTCATTTATCTCATTTTACTAATAAGGTCATTATCCTGGTTAGGTAATGCTAGCCAGTTAGTAGGAGCAGGAGGAAAGTCCAAGAATTTTTTAATTGAGATGATATTTTGAATGGAAATACTACTCATTTTTCATGCTTTTAAAATTCATACCTTCTGTCTCACTGAAATCCTTGTACAGCCATGTAACATGAGAGAGAGATTATTTCACATATCTGACAGGTTTAGCTCCATGAGAAGAAATGGTTTACTTACATTCACACAGCTGGTTACTGATAAAACCAATTGGAGAGTTCTTTAAACCTGGTTCCTGATTTCCTGGGAAAAGATACCTGTAAGCTCATAATACAGATAAACCATTGTCAACATCTTGTTGTCAACATCAGTGTTGTCATGATACATGGTTTTTACAAGAAGAATCGTAGGCTTTTCCAAGCAGCTGATTTGGTATTGTTTTAACATGTTGCTAATAATAGTTTTATGATAGGTGAAGAGATTAAGATGAGGAGAACAGAGGTGGATTAAACACATGCAAGTACAAAATAATACAGCAATGACAAAATTGTAAAGTACATTTACTAAACACATTTGCAAGAATGATTTAATTTTATTTCCTCAACAACATGTTATAGGTAGAAGACAAAATGGAGGTATGCATACATAAACTAATCTCCAAAAATATTTAATTACATGAGAAAAAATGAAGTATCAAAAGATGCATGTAGAATTAATTACAGAGAGTAAGAGCTTTTATGGTATCCAAGGGGATTTCCCACAAGGACAGTGAGGAAATATGCCAAGATGTTGACAATGATTTATCTGTATTGTGAGGTTACAGGTATCTTTTATGACCTTTATTTTATTTTTTGTGTTTGTTTTCTTTTTGCAATGAATATGTATTCAGAAGAAAGTAAGCTATTAAAAATACACATAAAATAGAGGGTTATAGGGACTGGTGTGAGGTCTTGTAGCCCCAGTAGAGTAAGGAGGATACTCACTCAAGGAAGGGAGCAGTAGAAGCCTAGAGCAGGTGTTGGATTGGAATCAGAGGCAATCCATGTAAACTCATATTTAATAATTAGATTGATAAGTAGATGTAGAAATAAATATAGACATAAATTTGGATGTATATGCACACCTTTGAATAATATATTGACATAAATTTATTCTCCAGCTCTATTAGTTAAAATGACCTTGGAGCAACAATTCAAGAGCAATAAACATCCTGGGATCCAGATCTTGATTTTTCTACGTAACTATCTGCTATAAGGAGCCACGATTTCAGGAAACATGGCTCCTTGCAGGGTTAGTGAAGGGAAAGTATAATGTTAATCCAAATCATAAAAAGGACTTCAAAATGGTCATGAAAAAATGGAATTAAACTTGAGTTTATTTTGATGCAAAGTATTATGAAATTGTGCATAGGTTTTTAATGCATTTTCCACAAACTTTTTGAAGACTCCTCATGTTCTGCTGACAGTTAGTAAATATCCACTTGAATAGGTATCAAATGGCCAAATCTAGAATATTTTGGGCACCAAAACAAGTAATGATAGATTTATAATCCTTTAAAAAAAACAGGAGTTCATGAATCCATACTGCTATAAACAGATGAGTGGATTGATGAATGAGGAAAGCAGGTGTTCCTTTAGAGGAGTGGTAATAAATGATGGAATTTTTAAAAATCACAGTTTCCAACCATTGGTCATAAATAATTTGGTTAAGAAATAGCAATGGAGGGGCCGGCGCCATGGCTCACTTGGTTAATCCTCCACCTGTGGCGCTGGCATCCCATATGGGCCCCAGGTTCTAGTCCCAGTTGCTCCTCTTCCAGTCCAGCTCTCTGCTGTGGCCCAGGAAGGCAGTGGAGGATGGCCCAAGTGCTTGGGCTCCTGCACCCGCATGTGAGACCAGGAGGAAGCACCTGACTCCTGGCTTTGGATCAGCATAGCTCCGGCCCTGGCAGCCATTGGGGGGTGGGGGTTGGTGAACCAATGGAAGGAAGACTTCTCTCTCTCTCTCTCTCTCACTGTCTAACTCTACCTGTCAAATAAAAAAAAAAGAAAGAAATAGCAATGGAAACTAGTGGATGAAAGTTAAGTGAGGAATGGTTTATTAACATAGCCTCAAAACATTTTTAGTTATGAAGAATCAGAAAATAGTTATTCAAGGGAGAACTTGGTACATATCACCTTAATCATGTGAGCACCGGTAATGTTGTATACCACCTGATAGGATGAAATGAGAACCCAGCATCAGTTAGATGACGTTCCTACCAAAAATGCAGACCTTCACCACTTGAATTGAATTCTGAGGGAACATGAAAGACATTTATGAAATAACTGATATGTAATCTTTTAAATTGCCAAAGGCTGACAGTTACCTAGATCCAGACTGAGAAAGACTAAAAAGACATGACAGCTAAACACAATGCTTGAATCTGAAATGAAAGCTTTTATAATGAAGGATATCATTAGGATAACTGGCAAAACCTGAATGGGATCTGAGGCTTTGATGGTGGGGAATTAGAAGTGTTAATTTCCCAACGCTGGTGGTTATGTTGTGGTTAGGTGAGTGAACACCCATGTCTGTAAGAAACACACACTAAAGATTTCATGGGCAGTGTAGATAGTTTACTCAACCCAAGAGAAGCAAGTTTTTTATTTTTTTTATTTTTTGCAAATCTTCTATACATTTGAAATAATTTGAAATTATTTCAGAATAATGGGCACATTCTGGAAAGTGAGACCATAAATAATTTTAATATATAGAAAGCAACTTTATTTATTTATCTATTTATAAAGAGTTATTTACAGGTTCTCTTTCAGGTTATGTTATTCTGCCCTTTGTTTTAAGAGTTATCCAGATTGTTAATCATAAGCTATTATAAAGCAAGAATATTTATCCTTATCCACATGACATTATAAAATCCTTAGCATTGCTGCAAATACTTGCTAACATTCTTGACCTTTATGTTGAGCATAGCCACATAATATATAAAATAAAGTTCTCTCCTTAAACACATACATCTTCACTAATACACACACTAGCATTTAGACTAATGCCTGGAGATAGTACTTAATTTGCCCCAATCACACGGCTGGAAAGTGGGAGGAGCTGAGTTGGATTTCCTTCCCTCTGCTTCCAATTCACGCACCCATCCAGGAAGTGGGATGTGGCCAGGGCAGTACCGTGTGTGAGCTGTGGGCCCTACACTCTTGTAGAACCACAAGTAAAACTTGAGTTTGCTTACCTGACAAGCAGCAAGCCAATCACTGGAAATGAGGTGGTGGAAGAAAGGAGGTGTTTATTTTGTACTATGCAGCTATTGTTAAATTCCCAGAGCCCTTCTCCTCACCCAACCCTGACCCAAAGGATTAAGGGTGGTGAATCATACAAATCTGTGGTTGAGCAGTGTATGACCAGGGTGTGTGCAAGTCTCTGGTTGGTCTACAGTGTTTTTGGCTTCCCTTGGTCAGCAATAGGCTGGCATGTTCTAAAGATGCTGTGATGGCCAGGAGGGCTCCTGTCTTTTTGAGTCTTCGGGTAGATGGTTATTACTTTGTTTGCTCAAAGCCTGGGGCTCCTGTAAAGCTTCTCAAAATGGAGTCTGGTATCAGGATGTTAACGCTGAAGGTGATCACAAACCTAATCAATTTTATGCTATATGCCTGCCTCCATCCTTGTGATCTGGGGGCTGCCAGGTCAAGTTGAGAGATCAGGGCCTGATAAATGATGAAGTCTGCATCAAGGCATTAGAAGTAGGGACTTTGTTTCAACATTAGATGCAGAGAGCTTTGTGGGGAGAAACACTGTGTGTAAGAAGGACCAGCCTAGGAGGGAGCTGGAGCAGTTCTGTCATTGTCACTGAGGTCCCCCCATGATCAGAGGAGAATCCCTGCTTTCCTACTGACTTGCTTATATTTTGGACAGTTTCCTTTTATGGACTGAATATTTTCACACTATCTTGTTGTCTGCTTTTGCTATTGTTGTTTGTTAAATCATATTTGAAAGCATTTAAATGTAATTTTTAGGCCAGCCCAGGCCTCCCATTTCTGCTGTCCTGTACCCCAGCAACTTTACTCCAGAGCGTCACCTACCAGGCCCCGAATTGCATTTGACTTTGCAACCTTGGGCTTCCACATTCGGTGTTCTAATGAAGCCAGGCGGTTCTCAGATGCAAATAAGCCCCTAGACAGAAAGGCCCAGGTGTCTCGCAGACCCTATCTCTGCTCAAGTTTTGAAGGATGTGGTTAGGACATCAATCTCTGCTGGACACCATTGCCACCTGACAAGATAACTCTTCTGTTCTTGTCTTTCAGGAAAGCGGGCATGCCTTGGAGAACAGTTGGCCAAGTCTGAGCTGTTTATTTTCTTCACTTCCCTCATGCAAAAATTTACCTTCAAACCTCCAAGCGATGAGAAGCTGACCCTGAACTTCAGAATGGGCATCACCCTTTCCCCCGTGAAACACCGCATCTGTGCCATTCCTCGAGCCTGATGTTGTCGGGATGGAGAAGTGACGTGGGCTCTGAAACCACTGTGGCCTGCCCAGATGTTATGGGACTAAAAGAAAGTGCCTGTGGAAATATCAGAGAAATTAGCCTCTGAGGAAACTGGATCAAAATTACAGCTCTGCTATCTTCTTTGAATCAGCCCAGGGCAAAGCATTTATGTGCTAAATAATTTACCTTTTTGTCCAAAAGATAAAAAAAAAGGATAATTATTCCTTCCTTGAAGAAAGTTTTTGTACAATCAAATTAAAAAGTGATTTGTAATTCACAAAGTGCATCATACAATTTGTGATTGTAATGTGCCTCCTTCCAACATCCTTTCTTGGACATGTTTGCTTCTGGTTTCAGGTCAAGGTGTTGTGAAAGAGGGGATAAATGTTAGAAAGTGGACCCTGGATACAGCCAAGGTTAACCAGGAGGCTCTCCCATTTAGTAGCATCTGGTATGCTTTATCTTATTTTGGCCTCAGAATAATCATCTGGAAATCAACAGGGCAAGTATTAGTTCCCACTTACTGACAGGGAAAGCAAGTGCTGTTGAACCGGTGAACCAGTCTCTGTGGATTAAGAGGGAGCACTACTTGGCCTTGAACTCAATTAACCAAACCTGGGAAGTAGGTTTGGAGAGCAAATATGGAAATATTTTCTACCTCTAAGAATATCTTAAATGCCAGAAATCCTCCATTGAGCATGTGCAACAAACAAAACACTCTTGGTAAGCTGCATCCAGCCATTTGAAAAGATCATTCTAAGGTGGTTAGACCTGAGTATTTGAAATAGCTAATAACAAAGCAGGCCACAAGGCCATAGGGCTTTTTTTCCCTGTTGGCTGGGATTCAGAGAAAAGCCAATTCTATTAACAGAGTAAAGGACAGAGAAAGGAGGATGTTTGTCTAGAGCTAGCCTAAGCTAACTGGGATGCTGTGTGGAAGCAATGGGTGAGGTTTTAGTGGATGAGAAGTGGTTCTGGTCCTTTCTTCTTGGTAAAAGAAGGAGCCCCACCCTTGTGCACTGCTTTGTAACCCTCTGGAAAGCCGCATCTCTAGAAAGCAGGCCTGGATGAAACCAGTCAAATCAAGCCTAGAACTTCCTGAATATCCAGGATCTTGTCGTCCATTTCTTTGTTATTTTTCTTCAACCAAATCACCTAAGCAAAAGACTCAATGGGAAATTGGCCAGAATACTTTATATTATATGTCTCAGTTTTCATATCTTTAAAATTAAGGAATTTGTTGAAGTCATCTCTGCATTACATTCCTCCTCCATGATTTTGGATGGGCAGCTACATGACCACCCCTTGTGGAATAAACGTAAAACTCCTGGGGACTCATACTGACAATATATGCAGGTTGAACCATGGCAGGTGGGCTATGGCCATAATGAACCCAAAACTTGTAGTGATAGTTGACAGTAATCAAATTTTCTGGCCATATAAATATGTGTGTGTGAGTTTCTTAAAGTTCATTAGAGTTGAACTCTGAATATGAACTTTCTTCCTATCCATGCATTAGTTACACAAAGATCTTGTTATAAGCATTTTTTCTCTTATTCTCCATCCATTTTCAAAGCTCCAGGTCCCCTTGAGCCCATTCCCTTATGCTGGGCACATGTGTGCAAGCAATAGCACATGACCTGTGCTATCAGGGATGACGAGTTTTACCAAAAGACAACCCAGGCTGTGAATCTGTTATGGACTAAGTTGGGCCTAAATTTTTATTTCAGACTCTTGCCTATTATTGAGAGATGAATTCTAAATAGAGGCACAAACACTATATGCAATGCAACAGTGTTTATCTACAAAGTGAGGAAAATACACACGTACTTGTGGGCTTCATTTAGGGAGAGTGAGCCAGGAAAGGTCAAGGGGATTTTCATACACTGCTCACTGTGGGTCCATGAGGAGACAGCGACTGTGCTTCTCTTTACCCAGCTCAGAAAACAGAAGTGGTTACATGGTGCCGCCCCCAGGTCCCGGGTGAGGGGAAGTACTTCATCTGATTGGCAGGTAGGTGAATATGGTAACGTGGAGTAAGGGACATGTGTGTTCCAGCTCAGGAACTTAAACTATCAAACTTATCCCATATCAAATATTTTCTCCACCATGTTCCTGCAAAGAGACAGTGCAGCGTAAAGCTACTGCTGGGCTGGAAGTTGAGGGATTTAGAGAGGGGAAGGAGCAAGACACACATGGCACCTGCGGTTCTCACGGAAGTGTGTTCGGGTCTGGCAGAGTTGGACTGCATGTACTGGGGGAAATCCAGGAGAGGAAGTCTCCTGACCACACCATGCTTGATTGCAGACCAGAGGCAGATGTTGGCCAGGTGACTAAGCAGCAAGGAAGCTGAGAGAGCTGCTTTGACAAAACAGGGATTCCAGAGTCTGTGGCTGGTGTCAGGGTTTTCTGCTCTTAGTCTCACTCAGGCCCAATGAACAAACTTCTTGCTAAGCAACCAAAATTGAAAGGAAGTTAAGGGGCTGGCGGGGTTAGGAACATCTGATTTATGACTCTTCAACGGTTTAGTTAGACTTTGACCAGTCTTCCATTTTATTCTCCTAAAACACAGATTTGAGAGTAGAAACCTCACTATGTGGTGGTAAATGACAAAATTATAAAGTGTGCAATCTTGCCTGTGTGACAGATTGATGGTAGGGGGCCTAACAGGGAACCAGAACAACCTCAAACTGACACCCCCCCCACACACACACACCCAGTAAACAACTTCCTTTTTGCCTGGAAATGAAATTCAGGCAGGCTCCATCACTTTTCTGGACACTTCCGCATGACAAATGTTCCTTTAATATGTGTTCCTAAGAAAAGTTATGGTGGTCATTACAATCTGTGGCCCACTAAGTATACAACTTACATAATTCCATAAATTAGCTGATGTAGCTCCCCCAACTCAACCCAGTTTCAAAACTAGAAGGTTTCCAGTAGGTTGGGCAGAGAGTGCAGCCAACTTCTCACCCTGCACCATGTGCTCCCAGCTTCAGGACCACCCCTCACATTCCTTGACTCCCAAATACCTTCCTCTCCCTGGGTCCCTCTGTGTTCATGTACTTGATAGGAACAGTGGTTCTTCTTTAGCTCAACATCATTCTCTGACTCCTAGAATTCTGCCAGTTCAGTGCCAATTCAAGTCACAGCTGCTACACTTTGGATGTAGCTCCCTGCTAATGCACTTGGGAAAGCAGCAGCAGATGGCCCAAGAACTTGGCCCCCTGCACCCACACGGGAGACCCAGAAGAGGCTCCTGGCTCCTGGCTTCAGATCAGCTCAGCTCCAGCCATTGTAGCCATTTGAGGAGTGAACCAGGAAATGGAAGATCTCTTTCTGAGTCTCCCTTTCTCTCTGTCTCTCTCTCTCCCTCTCTGTCTCTCTGTAACTGCCTTTCAAATAAATATTTAAATAAAAAAATAGATATATCTATCTCACTTGTGCACAGGTATTTCTACCATTAAGTCACTGAAAATAAAGTTCTAGATATAGTTGTTGTGAAATCTGCCCTCCTTTATTATTCTGATTTGCTTTGGATATATGGAAGCATCCTATAGTATGGCTCATAAATTATCATTTTCTTATCTGGAAAAATTGTATTACTTTCCTCAATACCCATATGTGCTGGTGGTGTCTCCCAAAGTGTAGAAAAAACAAACTGCAGGAATTGCTTCTTTTATTTGGAAACAGTGGGTGGAACTGTGGAATCAAGCCTCACATTAATAATATTTTCAAGCCAACTCAACAAATACTTATTGAGCATGATCTATGAGTCAGACTAACAGTGATTAACAAGCAGGAGATGCAGGGTAATATCTTCTTGGTTCCACAGTCTAGACCTGATAAGAATTGAGAATGGAGGATTATAAACATAGGAATAAATTGACGCTTGTATCACCTCTAGGGAATAGAGACCAAAAGAAACTTTCTCGAACACAAATAAGCTCCATAACAAGTTTAATCATTTTCATCACCACATAGCAATCTTCAGGGGAGGGTCAGGTGATAGAGTCCTCCATGCTGACTGCTCTCCACCTCACCTCACTGAAAGCCAGTGCCGAGTGGGAACTTCGTGCTTGGAATTGTTTCCTTCTCCTCCTACACCTTCTCTTCCTCATCCTTCTGCTCCTTCCATTCTCCTTCTTCCTCTTCTGCCTTTGTTGCAGTATGTCTTCATTTTGCTTTCAGTTTTGAAAGAAAATTTCAACAAGTAGAGAATTTTGAACACATTGAATATGTCTTTCCATTATTTCCTGCCTTACATCATTTCGGATGAAAGATCCGGTCATTCATCATTTTGATCCTTTATTCATTTTGAATCTTTTTGTCCTTTAGTTGTTTTTCAGACTTTATTCTTTATTATCATTACTCCTTGGTAATTTGTCTATAATGTATCTTGGTATACTGGTCTTGGTGTTTACCTTGATGACCTGATGTTAACCTCAGGTTACTATGGTTCTGTTAATTTTTTTCAGTCATTTTTCTCTCTATGCTTCAGTTTGGGTAGTATCTATTGCCTCCCCCCCTTTTTGTAGTGTCTAATTTGCCATTTGGCTTATTTATTTTTTAATATATTTTGTGTTCTGCTTAAGAAGTATCAATTGGTACTTTTTAAATATAGCTTATGTTTCTCATTTTCACACTTTCCTTGAAATCCTTGAATATATTTATACCACCAGTTTAAAAGTGCCTGTCTGATAATTCTGTGATTTTTCATTTCCATGTCTGCTTCTATAAACTATTTTTCCTCCAGTTAAAAGTCACATATTTCCATTTCTTCATTTGTTTCTTGATTATGGATTGATTATGTAAAATTTTTATTGTTGAGTGTTGCAATTATGCTTACTTTAAAGAGTGTTGTTTTGTTTTGGTAGGCAATTTACCCATAGAACACCTTAATCCTTTAAAGTCCTTTTTCAAAGCTTTAAAAAGGTGGGTCTAGAGTAGCCTACAATCCAGGGCTCCTAAAGAATGACCCTCCTGGGGTCTCCACTGATCACCTGAGCTGTTAAATGTAGTCCATCCAAAATTGAGATTTCAGCCCTGTAACAGGTATGGCTCCCATTAGCCTTAAAGTTCAGCTAGTTTTATCTCTGGTAAATGTTTTTCGCTAGGCCTCACAGAGTCTCACTCTACATAGTGGAGTTTAGTATTTAATTTGTATCCCTGAAAATTTATGAACCCTTTCTCAGGGCAGCTCTATCCTGTTCTAGCCTACAGATTCCAGCCATGTCAATCACCTCAAACTCCAGCCTGCATTTTCTCAAGACTGC